AAACCCGTAGAACGTATAACTCCAAGAGTGAAACTTAACATAAACTGGGACGTTTGGTGGACAGTGACCTGTCAATACAGGTTCATCCATTGGAACACAGGTAACGCTCTGGTGGGGGATTTTGATAAGGGGGAAGGTGTGGGAGAGAGTGGGGCAGGGGTTGATTCAGAACTGTGTACATTCTGCTCAGCTTTGCTGTGAACCTGGAACTGCTGTTAAAAAAAAAAAAAAAAGTAAGTTAAAAAAAAAAAAAGTGAAGACCTTCCAGGTTATGGGGAGGAGGTAGGAGAGTCAGTGTGTGTTCAGGGGATCCAGGGGCAACACGTCTGGCTGTGAGAAAAGGTTCCTGTTGGGACAGTGGGGTGCGTGACTGGAACAGCAGCCCCGGCCGCAGCAGACACTCCCACCTGCCGTGATCGTGCTGAGGCTTGGCTCTTTCAGCGCGGGGGGTGGCGTAGCTCCTGAATTAACCTGGCTGCCCAGATGTCTCCCATGGACTGATAACTGAGCAGTCTGGGAAAGCATCGCGATAACTGACGAACAGTGTGAGTTACATGTTCACATGCGTGGGATGAAGCTCTGGAACAATTCTTTGGCTCAAGTAAAGTGTTTTCTGTGCCTTGTGGTGCCCTGATTCCAGTGAGTGACATCAAAGGCTTACTTTGTTAGGCAGTAATGCCCTCAAGGTCCACCCTTGCTCTCTGAGCTTGGAAGCAAGATCTTTGTAATCCCTTATGGAGGATGAGGTTTAGTAGTTTGGAAGAAAGTGATTGGAGTAGGAGCTGTTGCCCATATTCTCAGAGAAGAGCCAGCACTCAGGCCCTCACAAGCCCGGAAAGGATCTTTCTTGCCAGTGGCCACTTGGGCTGTGCTAACCAGATGGGAGTGTCACCTGCTGGTTGTAAGATCTTCCACTTGCTAGTTCCAGTCGGTGGTGCTTCCGTTGCCTCCCAGCCACGTGGGCAGCAGAACCAGTGTCTTCCTCATGACTCACTTGGTTCTCAAGGTTACTGAACTGTTTTTTTTTCTTTTCATATATAAAGAAGGGCGTAGGATCACTACCCATGCACAACAGTCGTCGATGCTGGGTGTTGGTTGTCGTGTGGGAACAGTGGAAGATGTGTGGTGATAAGACTAGAGGCACCAGGGAGCCCAAGAGGCATGGTGAGCACGGGTTAGCCGGTGGGGGACGAGGGGGACAAGACGGCCAGGGGTGAACCCGAGATCCCTGCAGTGCCAGGGAGGACCCACGAGGACCGCAGGGTGGAGGGAGTGCAGGGTCTGGGGGCCGTGGGGAGGGAGAGCAGTGCAGCCTGCTTGTTTGGACCCGGAAAGAACAGGTGGTAGATGAAGGGCAGGGTATGTGGAAATGCATTTTGAGCAAATTTTTGGAAAGGAGGAAAGTTGCAGAGGCACGAGGAAAGATGATTTTTGAGAGTTGCTGCTGCATTTAATTTGATTTGGCTGTGGGCCGTCCCAGGGGAGCTGAGACGGCGACCTATTTTGAGACAGCTCACCTGAGGTGTGAGTGTCCAGTCTTACACGGATGGATTCCAGGGACATCTGTGACCAGGCGCTGAGACCTACCAGACACTCTTGGACCACAGAGCTCCCAAGTAGTTTGTGAGTGGGCGTTGCCCTGAAGGAGTTGCAGTCCGTGGTGAGACAGGAGGGGGTGCTGTGGAAGGAGGGGGGGTGCATCTCACCGTGGAGAGCAGGACCTTGGGGCACAGCAGGGTGGAGGGATGGCTCCGTTGGCAGTGGTCTGGAATGAAAGTACACTCCTTCAGGTTGAAGTGGGAATCCAGTTCTCAGTTGACTCAGCTGTCCATGTCTAGTTCCTCACCTAGGTGGTGACCGATCATTCGGGTGCCTATGAAAGTGGGCTTACGTCAGATGGAAATGGAAACCTGCAGCCCTTGCTGGTACCCGTAAGGCTTAGCCGGCATTCTGGGGTTTGGACAGCAAAGGGAATCGGGAGGGTCCTTAAGCCAAGAGCCACCATGAAATAAATTTGCTTAATTGAATCATTTTATCTATCGGAGTTGTTAGAGGCTTTCTAATGGAGTCCAAATGTGATTACTTAAGAGCCCTGTCGTGGTAACAGCTGGTATTTGTGTGGTCGGGCTTTCTAGTGTTTTTTTGTTGTTGTCGTTAATCCTTACCCAAGTGATTTTCAGATAGAGTGGAAGGGAGCGAGGGAGAGAGAAACATCAATGCGAAAGAGACACATCCACTGGCTGCCTCCTGCACGACCCCAACAGGGGCTAGGGATCAAACCTGCAACCCAGGCACATGCCCTTGACTGGGAATCAAACCTGTGACCCTTTGGTCCACGGGCCAGTGCTCTAACCGCTGAGCAAGACCGGCTAGAGCAGGATTTACTGGTTTTCAAAGCAGCCCCAGTTGATCTCTCAGCGGCTTTGGAAGGTGCTCTCTCCAGGTGTCCTCCACATTGGTTGGAGGCCAATCTGAGAACTTCTAAGACTAGTTCAAGGGCACACAGATAGGAAGTGGCAAAGTCCTAGACTCTAACACAGCAGGATTTTCACCTCAAAGCGGTATTATTTTTTCTACTCATTCAGTTTTAAAAAATGTTGGTAAAATGCTCATAACATAGAATTTATCACCTTAACCATCCGAAGGATACAGTTCAGTAGTGTTGAGTACAGCACGTTACTGTGCCGCGAGTCTCCACCGTTCTTCATTAAACACTGACTCCGCGCTCCCCTTTCCTACAGCCCCTGGCAACTACCCTTCTGCTTTTGGTCTCTCTGAGTTTGGCAGCTACTTACTCATGCAAGTAGATCATACAGCGCTGGTCCTTTTGTGTCTGCCCCGTTTTACATTCCCACCAGCATTGTGCAGGGTTCCGGTGTCTCCACACCCTTGCCCACACTTGTCATTTCTAATATGTGTGAGGTGGTCTCTCCTTGTGGTTTTGATCTGCATTTCCCTAATGACCAGTGGCACTGAGCATCTTTTCCTGGGCAAGCAGAATTTTAAAGAGGGCCTTTCAGGGCTGGGTATCACCATCTAGGTGAATTCCAGTGCTAATTGCCTGAGCATTTTGTGTGGGAAACAACTGGAGAATGAATGGCCCTAACCTGTTAAGTGGCGAAGCTCACACATGTACACTTTTGCTTTGAAAGGAAATTGAGACCTAGAGATGTTAAGTGACGGGCAGAATGTCACGAGGGTGCAAAATCTGGACCTTGTAGAAATGAAGGCAGAGACCAGGGAATGGTCGAGTCTCTGGGAACTCCGGAGTTCTCGGTGCCATTGCTGGGACTAGTCTTCGCTTCCTGTTCCAGGGCTCTTTAGAGGTGCCAGGCCACCAGGGTTAGCAAAATCCGGCGCTCATCTTCCCTTACTGCTTCCTTAGTGCTTCACAGATGTTCATCTATTCAGCACACAGTTCTTGTGCTCTCTACCCACTGCTGTGCTGGGGATAAAGCAATAAATGAGATAAACATGATCTCTGTGTTCATGGGTTGTCTTCCTGCTTCAGAAGCAGTAAAATGGTGTTAATCTTTGGACTGGCTCTGCATATTAATTATCATAATTTAAATAATGCATAATGGGTAATGACAGTTTATTTGAATAGGGTTTTTCTTGGGGTCCTCTGGAAAGTTATTGTCTTCCCTTTCGTAATTAAAAAGTTATTAGTAGCGATATAATTTCAGATTATGTGAATATTCTCTTTCACATCGAACTTTCACTGGCTTTAATTTCCATGGTTCATTTCTACCGCCATTGTTCCTTCACTATTTATCTGCATTTGAGAATCCAGGAGCTTTTCCTTCTTTCCCATTTGCATAGAAGTAAGGATTTGTGCACTCTTGTTATTTTTTATTTTATTTTATTTTTTTATATCAGGGATTTTTTATTTTTATATTATTTTTATTAATTTATTTTTGTTACAGATGTTTCTCCTTTTTTTGTTATTTAATGGGTTATGATTCATTACCATTTTTTATTTTGATGCTCAGCGCACCCCGTGGGACACGTCCTCAGGAGTCCGCGAGCTCTTCCTTCTTCTACGGTGTGAGGTGTTTCAGGCTCGTCTGGTACTTCCTCTGCCTGTTTTGCGTTGGTCTCCTCTCTGGGTAGTGATGCTGTTGCTGGGAATGCTTGGGGCACTGCTCACCTGGGCCTCTTCTTGTGATGCGTCCTCGCAGACATTGTCCCTTAGGGTCTGGCGCTGTGGCTCGACCAGCCCTCGTGGTTCCTAAGGTTGCCCCTGTGCTTCAGCAGCATCGTCAGGGAACTTCGAAAAAAGGCCGGGTGTGTCCTCACCTCGGAGCTTACACAGCATGCCTGGGCCACACGGCACGTCCCAGGGTGTGTGGAGGAGGGAGCCAGCCAGCGAGCTCCTGAGCCTGGGGCTCTGCCTTTATCGGGGGCTCTGGTGGTTGCCTGCGCTTTTGCGAGTTCCCTCTTTATTGATTAATTTATAACATAAGAGTGGGAATTAAAGTACAGAAAGGGAAAAGCAAGCGGTCAGTCAAAGGTCAGTAATCTAGGTCAAGCAGCGTTTTCTATAAAAGAAAAAGGGAAGTTCATGGGTGGGTGGCCTGGTTCTTTGTCTGGTCACGTAGCTTTGAATTCTTTGAAGTGGTTGCCTCAGCAATCAAAAGCTTGATGTCAGGCACTTAGAGTACAAGCGAATTGTCCGGTGCTTACACTGCATGGTCCCAGCCTTGGGGCCAGTCATTTCTCCCAGGAGCCCCATGGAAGGACGAGTATTAAAAAACTGAGATCTGGGCCCGAGTGCTCTTTGACGTTGGTGTGTCATTGTTTGTCAGCCATCTCAGTAGGCAAGCCAGGGGGTTTGTGGGTGTGTAAGCACAAATCTAAAATATCTACCCCCCCCCCCCCATATGTCTGTATATTTAAAATGTGGACTTTTCACAAACAAAGTTCATGGAGTAGGATTCTGATTAGACACGTGTGTATTTTCGGGTCGATGTCACTCGTTTTCTTTTTATTGTTAACAGGTGGCTCAACCCCTTGTTTAAAACTGGCCACAAACGAAGATTAGAAGAAGATGATATGTATTCAGTGCTTCCAGAGGATCGCTCCAAGCACCTTGGAGAACAGTTACAAAGGTGGGCGACAGGCAGTCAGGAGAAGGCCAAGGGAGAGAACCTCTAAGTGTGTGGCTAATGGTTGGGAGGGGGTGTTGCCTTCCTTTGGGCGCTTCTGGAGCCTCAGTCCCCTAACGTGGCACACTCTGCCCCCCTCAGGCTGTCCCTGGGCTTAGCCTGATTTGTCAGGTGCCTGAAACCAGTGTTTCCTGCGCATTTGTGGAAGCGGAGGGAGCCCCCAGAAAAGGCCCTGGATGCTGAGAACTGTCCCGGGAGGAGGCACCCTTGGAGGAGGTTGTCTGGACTCCTGTCTGCCCTCTTGGGCTGCTCAGGGTGCTCGAAGGCCCGCGGAGCTTGGCAGCAGCTTGTGCCCTGCCGCTGGGACTTCCCCTTCCAGGCCCGATTGTCTGGTGCTTCAGACACTGCACCACGGTCTTGCAGGAGCCCTGCAGACAGTTGGCCAGCGCCTGTGGACAGCCGTGAAGCGCCCCCTAGTAGACACTTGCCTTCCACTCTGCTGCCTCCCCCGGTCTGCCCCATGGCAGGGCCTGCTGTTCTTCACCGCACTCTTGTTTCTCGTCGCAGCTACTGGGATAAAGAAGTTTTGAGAGCCGAGCGTGACTCGCGGAAGCCATCTTTAACAAAAGCAATCATCAAGTGCTACTGGAAATCCTATGTAGTTTTGGGACTTTTTACGTTAATTGAGGTAAGAGCTTTTAACCTACAGTGCATGTTTTTCAGTGTATGCAGGTTGCTATTTAGATGGTAGGACTTTTGGGAGGGAGGCAAGACATTTAAGGCCTGAGGATAAAACGAGTCTAGGAAACTCGGGTTGCATTGTTAGACTGGGCAATTACTTAAACGACTAGACCTCATGGGGGTTATTATTTTTCTTTTAACTAATTCAAAGAGTGTTACGGAAGGATAGCACTAAAAAGACATTGTATACCATGTTAGGATGCTGTTGGTGCTCAGTAAATGTTATAAATGCCGAGTGATCCTTGACCAAAGGAAGATCCTTCAGCCTGAGGTTTAGAAGAAGTAAATTTGGACCCGCATCCAGAATAACATAAGACATTTTACAGGTGCTCCAGGCCAAATCTGATAAATGTTCTTCCAAGAAGGTATTGTCACCTTCCAGAGAAATAGAACCCGGGGCCCTGTGTCTGGGCGACGCAGCCGGAGTCCCAAGCACACGCTTGTCTCCAGGCTGCCGCCTTTGCCGTGGGCTGGGTATGATGAGCCAAAGCCCTCTTTGGAGGAGCCGGGGCTTCACCATGAATTCTGGAGAACTGGTGCACCTCCAGTTCTGGTTTCTTTTCCTGGTTGTTGGGGTGGATTGCTGGGTAGAAGGGTAGCCTGGCATTGCAGAGAGTGTAGGAGGGGACGTGCAGTGGAGGACCAAAGGCAGAAAGCCACGAGGTCAGTGACCTCTGTTACCCTGAAGGGCCTCGGTGACGATCTTCCAGTAAGATGTCGTTCCACTTGGTGGCACAGTGCCAGTAGCCCACTTGTCCTGGGCAGGTCTGCTTCAGGACCGCCTGCGTCGCCCATGCTCTCTGTGGCACCTTGAACTGCCTTTGGGACATGGGTGGCCCTGCGTGTGCCTGGGAGTAGCAGAGACAGCAGTCACAGTTGCTGTGAAAGGGTGGTTTTAGCTGCAGAAGGGCGGTGAGTTGTCATAAGTGCATTTTGTTGGGGGTGAGGTGGGTGGGCCGGTGGCTGTGTCTGTGGGAGGTGAGCTGTTTAAAAGGTTCAGTTGTGGTGAAGGGCGCTGTGGGCAGTGGATAGCTAGGTAGGCCGACTCTGCTCTGCACAACTGGAGAAAACCAGAGAATGTCAGCTCGCAGGTGTGAGTGACTGGATGGTCTTGGGAGATTGCAGTTTTTGTTGACGACACATGTGGGTTGGCCAGTGCACCAGAGGTTGGGGACAAGTGTATGGGGCAGAGCACCTCCTTTGAGAGGGCACCAACCACCACCTGGATACTGCTGTGGCCTTGGGAAGGGCAGGGTGGAGACGCAAACCAGTGGGACCAACTTGGGGTATTAGAAGATGCAGGAGCCCTTCAGCCTGTCCAGCGGAGCTTTGACCTGTGCACAGGTGTGCCAGTGATGGTGTTTCTTCACTGTTGTAATAAGTCTCAGTTTGAAATAAGCAGGTGGTAAGCTGGTGTCATTGTGGTCTGTGTATGCAACTGACCGAATGTGACCGCTGACCTCAGCACAGAGCTCTCATGAATTCCGCTTGCCAGGAGTCCTCGGAGCCTCGGCAGGTGCCTGTGGCCCACACCAAGTGTCTGGTTGTGGGCGGATGGGGTGAGTGGCCTCGGGTTAGTGTGGGATGACGTCCGGGAGCAGGCTTCCTCTGCTGCCCCTGGTTCTCTAGTTTCCCTTTGTTACCAGGAGCTGGAGAAGCTGAAGGCAGGCAGATCTCAAAGGGTGGCCCTTGCTGCTGGGTTTGAACTGAGCTGGTTTTCCTGGCTGTCATGGGCTGGGGGTCTCTCAGCCCCAGGTGGGGACTAGGTCCCATCTAAAAATGAGCTTTGGGTCTTCACTGAACAGCATTAGGGAGAAGTAGACACAGAGGTAGTGCCATAGAAGCTAGGGTTCCTCCTGAGAGGGGACAGGCCCCACCATGGTGCTGGGGTTATGGCCCCAGTAGTACTTAACTGTTCGGATTGGGGCTGAATGCAGGTGCAGCAGCTGGGAGAGGGCTAGCCTCCTGTAGGAGGTTGGTGGGCCATGGAGGACAGTGGAGAAGAGTCCTGGCCAGCGCGGGGGCTCACGTCAGTGTGAGTAGCAGCGTGGAGGCTCATGCTCAGCGGCAGTAGTCCTGGCACTCCTCAGTAGTCCTGGTACTCCTCAGTAGTCCTGGTACTCCTCAGTAGTCCTGGTACTCCTCAGTAGTAACAGCAGCAGCGGTTCACACTGCGTGGTCGTGGTGGTTCTGGTGGTAGTTTCAGTAGGGGCTTTCTTGGTGATGGTGGCGGCAGCAGTGTTATTAGTGTAGTAATAACAGTAAGTACTTGAAAAATGTGTGTCCAGAACAGCTATGAGCACTTCACATATAATATTACATTTATTCTCTTGGCCAACTCAAACGAGGTGGAAAATATTCTTATAGCCCCATTTTAGAAAAGAGGACACATAGTGCCAAGTAGTTACATATTGTGCCCAGGGTCACACTAAGCATCAAGGACAGAGCCGGGATTCTGTCCTGGGCACTCTGACTTATGAGCCTGACCATGTCTGCGACTGATGGCTCGTCCGGTGTCTTCAGAGTCGCACACACATGCATCTTGGACTTGGCCTGGCTATGATAAGAAAGATGCTGAAAACTCCCTGGAGCAGGGAGTCGGATTGGGGATTGTCATCTGGGGTGGCCATGTCCCATGGGTGCTGGCAGCAGCATAGTGGTGGAAAGCCACCGCCCCGTTCACTGCCATCCGCGGTGGGTGCAGTTGTGGCTGCCCTAGTGACCTAAGTTCTCAGACGTCTGTTCACAGTCCGGAGGCTCCATTCCAGGTTGGCTCCTTGGGATAGACCAGTAGGAGGCACTGGTCTTGGATGGGACTCAGATTGCGATTTCTTTGTGTTGTTACTTGCAAGAGCCCCTGGTTCCCTGCTGAGAGCTGGTGTCCCTGTGACTCTCGGGACGGATGTGCATGTGCTCAGCAAGGATGAGAACCCAGGTCAGTCACCAGTGTGGGGGCCAGTTCTCTTCCAGCGTCTGAACCCTTGTGTGTTGCGGGGTCCGCACTGGCCTGGGGTGTTAAGGATGGCAGCTGGACGAAACCCGGAGGTGCTGGTAGCAGATACATCAGATGTGAAGTGGTGCCGGGCTTTCTCCCAGGGGCTGCTTGCTTGTTCATGCTGTGTTCAGGCCAGTACGTTGGTGGTTTATGGTTTAAAATTAGACAGTGGCCTAGATTCCCTAGATGAGCATGGTGACTAGCGTATGATGTTCATTCTAACTTTGTGTGTTCAAGATAATAACTGGAAGAACGCTTCGTTCTGATGCGGTGAAGTTTAGGGACCACTAAGGGTCATGAAAGCTCAACTAGAAAGACACCTTGAATTTTTTTGCTGGCAGCCAGCAGAAGCCTGAAATCCAACCCAAATACTCTTATTTCCCTAGACTTGCCTGTTGACACTCTGGTGTTTGGAGAAAGTTAGAAATGATATCTTAGGGTGAAAATAATAAGGATCTGTTATATTTTAAAAAATCATTTTCAAGTACTGTTTTGGGTTTTTAGTGATTAAAACTAGTTACCGAGTTAGATGGGATAAATGCTCATTTCATGATTGATTTCTTGAAGCAGCATCTCGTTCTGTGGTCTGATATCTGTGCCTCCTTGTTGGTCTTTGTGTTTTAGATAGTGGAAGATCTAAACTCAGCCTGGGATTTTCTAAAAAGCTCCAGGCACGCAAATTATCCACGATTTCCAAGCAGTGTACTGTTACCAACCAAAGCCTGCACAGGGCCTTCCCTGGGCATTGCTGGCCGCACCCACGGGGGAGGCTGGGTGGCGCTGGTCCAAGGCAAGGCTTTTCAGGTAGGGATTTCAAAGTACTGAGAACCTCTCCTACGAGAATTGAGAAAGGATTGCAATGCTTGCAGGGACAGGTTCCAGACTGAGGATGAACATGGTGTTCTTACAGGCCAGTGCTAATGAGAAGGGCACAGCCAGTGAGTTCCCAGCACTCCTGGCCCCTGTGTGCACCTCCATGGGGACTGCAGCGGGGAAGGAGCAAGCCTCTGCCTGCCCAGAGCCCAGAGGGGGGAGAGAAGGAGCCTCGGCCTTTCGTAGGGCCACGTGGTGGCAGAGGCCGCCCCCCCAGCCCTGGGGCCTTTTTTTTTTTGAGAGATGAGATCTCTGCCTGCTGGTGGGTTTGAGAGGTGGCTTCAATGAGCAGCGGTGGGTTCTCCCATCCCCTTCCTCTGAGAGGTGGGGAGTGGACTGTTCCAGTGACTCATAGAGGTGGACCCGGGCAGCTGCTGCCTTGTCCAGTGACTTGGCCTTTGTCTGAGGCCAGCTTTGCAGATTGTCTTTGGTTCAGGTGGAGGCTGTAGGAAGGCAAATGTTTGTGTAAATTTTCGTGTTGGAACTCCTCTCTGGGCAAGAAGTCAACAGACCAGGAGAGCTCTCTGAGTAGAATTTATGCCTTGACTGTGGGCTGCTGTCTGGGAGTTGTACTGGGCCTTCGTATGTATTCCCCAGCTCTTTCTTCCAAGTGTCCTCACTTCCGCTCAAGCCCAGAAGCGGAGGAGTGGCTGCTGCAGAAACTGTGGGTCAGGAACAACCACTGAGAGCTACATAGCAAAGGCAAGATGGAGGAAGCATCCAGAAAAGCTAACTGGAGACCCCAGAACAGACCTGTGTACACCCCGCTGGGTTCCAGGCACCTAGCATTAGTGTGGCAGTGTCCATGGTGATGACCCTGAGTCGTCAACAAGGGGAATGCTTCTCAGTCCGTTTTCTTTGAGAAGTCAGGGAAGCAGGTGCCTCTTTAGGATTGCATTCACAGTGGTTAAACAAACAACAAGAAAATCTGCTTCGAAGTGAAACTTTCAATTATTGTCTAGAAAACGGCCTTTAGGAATGACTTCTCTCAAGATTTCTTGTTCTGCTGTGATCGCCTGCGAACAGCCATGTGTTTTCGAGCCCTTTGTGAAACCAGCCTCTGCCACTAAGGATGGACT